ACGAGAAAAAGGAAAACAGAGAAAAATTTAAAACACATGCATGCACTCACCGGAAGGCGTTGTACACTTGTGGAACCAAGCAAACATCGGCCATGGACAACTCATCTCCGACACAATATTTTCCGGCCAATTTCTCCAACTCCTTCTCGAAAGCTGTAAAGAAACAGCCATGAAATAGGATAATGTGCTGAGAGCTGCAGCGAATGTAGAGAGACTGCAAGATCTCAAAAGCAAATGAGGAAAACATGGAGTTAATTTGGTAAAAATGAAAACATGACGTGTGTTACAATGAAGAGAAAACAAATGGACAAGGAGGCGAGAAGTGGTTGCCTAACGTGTACGGAAATCGTGTCGAGTAACGTGACTAGTACACATGCAAAAAACTTAGCTCAAGACAAAATTAGAAATCGCACAGGCTGCGCGAATTAGCACCGTTACGAGTTGGGTGAAACTTACCATCGTCAAACACTGTAACACATTGCATTGGTTGTTAAAGATTAACAAAATAGTAGTCAGGTTGTGAATGTCTCCAACCGAGTCATAACCTCGAGGCTAGTGCTGAGATGAGCAGGGTCTGTGGCCCGCAACAAGCTCGCAAAGATGGGTTGTGCAATATCGTGTAAATGGAAAATGATAAACGGTCTGATCAGCTGCCCCGGGGTGGCTGAGTGAGTAGCATGCTTGTGTTCGGCCTGAGGTCCCGGGTTCGATCCCCAATTGGGTCGATGGATTCGCACTGTTGATAAGACCTAACCGGGTTGAAACAGCTATTCAGTGCTTCCTAGCTTTTCAGTTCACCAAAGTGAGAAAATGAAAAGCCAGTAAACGGGTCTGTAAACCTTTGGCAGTCCACCCAGTGAAGTTGGCTAAAAACCCTGATTACAAACCAGTAGGACGTGTACGAACCACACGCGTACATACGCCAGGGTTGTGGCAACGGTTACCTGCATGGAAGTGTATTTGGCACCTTGAATGTTTGACTCCGTCCAAAAGGGTATGAACCGATGAACTGGACACCAGCCTCAATGGATTACAGTTCTCACACATCGCTCAGGTTGTGAATTACCCGGGGCAAATTCACCTGCCTTGGCCTGGGCAACCCGGCGGTATTCCACCCACAAACAAACCGTGGAGTTTTCTCTTTCTTAGAAAGATTATTGTATCGTGATTTGTTTGGCACACAGTCTGGATTCAGACGTGTGTGAAAATATCTCATGTTCACATAGTCGCATGAATATCAGGAATCTGAACGCGATTACGAGGGATTGTGGACGGAAAAGGACAAACAGCGGCTTCTCCGATTAACATCCAGCAGATTGTGTTACTTTAGCATATTTTCATCAACGTGAAGTCCGATAACGTCTGCTCAGAATCGGTAACCTCTAACGACTGTGGGCAAACGATGCGAAGGCATAAAATATTGGCAAAATGCCTTGCCACTTTCCTAGTCATTAACGTAACAACAAATACCGGGTATTTCTCACAACTAATTATCTTAGATACTAATCAAGTATGTTTGTATCATACGGTTCTATGGTTCATCGTATGCATATATATAGAAATAAAACAAATAAATAGCTGGTTATCCATGAATGCATTCAGTTATAAGTTTTACTAATTTTACTATTTCAACCACAAAAGTAAACGAACGAATTTCGGAGGTGATAGATGAGTCTCCAAAGAGAACAGGTTGTCCCATAGTTTCTCAATTCAATCTCATCTGCGCCACCCTCACTAAAACTGCACCTATTTTTCAAGATCGTCATCAGAATCGGTCATCGAAATCAAACGAAGGGAACTTTGTTGATCGCTGCCAAACGCGCAATATTGCACAAAGTAAGCAATAATGTGTAAGGTGGATGGGGAATGGACTGACTTGTTTTCAGGGAAGGGAAAGTAAGACGAGTTACCATGGTCAGTACAGAAAAAGTGTGCAAACAGACCTTCTCAAGAAAGTGACATTAAGAACGCCAATGCTATCGGTTTGCCTTTAGTATCATTCAGTATCTCTGACGCACCATTTGTATGATTCCTTGAACTCCTTCAGTGGATAACAGGTTGCTGGGGTTAGAACCTTTCACTAATATTATTTCACGCTTTCCTTCCGTGATCTGGCCAGTGTGAATAGAACCAACACGGGTGGATCAGCAACGTATATTCTAACAGATCTTAAAAGTTACAAATGATTTACCACTAACTGAGGCTAGGATCTTAGCAACGGTGGCGGAAACCTGCAAATAGATCCGATCAAAACAGGGAGGGCGGGTGAAGCACTGCTCATTGTGAAGGTATTGTGTCGGTAAGGTTTATTCCAACTGATTAAAAGCACGGTAGCAGTACAAGTTACTATTCCTAATAAGGAAGTCTTACTGAAGGATCATTGTCCTCATTATTTGGAGCTACGCAATAACCTTTGGACGGTATACTTGGTTGTGAACAATTGGGAAGAAAGGTTATTCAGCCTAAACTCGGAAGACTTTCTTCAGTCTAGTTATTATAACAAGTGAGTTGTTGATGGTAGTAAACGTACCATAGTTTTACAATCGACAGCCCTCAATTTCGTAGGTAGGGTTGGTAACTTAATCTGTCCTGCTACCTGTGGTAACACCAGTACTTGATGAGACCGGTTTAGTGACTTGTGTTCGTCCGAATTAGGGGCATACAGTTGTAACAGTCAGCTCTTTTCTGTGACTTAATGATCACGTCCAGCGTATAAAATTATACTGGAAAACTTGGAGAAGATCAAGAGACAAGAAGTGAAAGCTAACATTGTGAAATTGTCGGTTAAAGAACTGCTACATCCTTATCTATACCTTTTTCAATTTAAAATGTTCGAATATCAATTTAAGATGTCATGTTATGCGGATAGTACGGCGCACTTGCTCCATCATTTCCCACAGTCTTGCCCCTCGCATCCGTGACGTTGAACAAGTAAATTCCTTCTGACCCTCTCTGTGACCTGATTGGATCATTCTCCGCGATTTGCGATATTTGGAATTCCTCACCCGAACACGAGACTGTCTGATTACCGGCTTGTACTTTTTGTAGTGCTCTTGTTGTCACGTCCAGTCCATCCACGTGGTAATGCCAATCCCGCTGCACGGTCGAAGTTCACTGGGCCTGCTAAAGACTCGCGACTGTAGACAAGGTGCGGTTTTTCGCTCGGGTTAGTTAAGCAAGCACCAGGTCCCTTGTTGCGGACCGATCGATGGTGTGATTTTCGGGCCAGCATTGGAGGGGGACAAGTTCTGAATCCAATTCTGCAACATCATCAG